CTGCACCTTTAAAGGCACGATAACAAAAACAGCATGTTTAATTCTAAGGGATGAAGAGAGGCTAGAAAATGGTGATGCAAACACAAACGAAAAGGTGGTTGTTGGTACTATTGGAGGGAAATGTGAGAGTAGCTGAGCATCTGTATTCCCACCAAATTTCTGACCAATCAGTGAACAGCTGTGTGTGCAACTTGGTACACTTTAGCAGCCAACCGAACCAAACAAGATAGAACAACCCAAACTTTGGTATGGACTTGAGCAAACGCACTAGGAGTGGAAATCAGGATACACCAATATGGCAATGCCGTATCTGATATTTTTAATGAACATCAGCCGATGCTGATACATGAACATCAAAAGAACATAGAGTAAACCTGGATTAGCATCACAGAGAAGTAGAAAGAGTTTATCTCTGAAGAGTTACAATAAAATGAGAAAATGCAGAGATTTTAGTGCAGCGTCGCCTAAACATTTTTTCAGTAACTATCCACAGAAATTGTTAAGCATCCCGAGTGAAAACAGCTTTGGATTACCACATCTCTGGAATGCGTCCTCTGAACGTGAACACCAATTATGAGCATGACGCAGATGTAAATATAGCACTGAGTATCGTCACTGTCCAAAGAAAAACACGTCTCTCCAAAACATAACTTTACAGAAGAGGCGAAAACACTTTACTTCTAATGTGAGTTAACATCAAAAGATTTTATTCCAAGCAACTTTGGGGCGTTTCCATTTGTCCATTCATCACAAAAAGGCTAAACTTGTGCACTAAAAATGGACATACTTGATTGTTTTAGACAGCGACGATATGCATCTAGTCAGACCAGCTTGCCTGATACGGCAAACGTACATCTGACACTCACAGAAAAACACAAATAAACTTGACATCTTAACAACAAGGTCCCTGTTATTGAGATGCAAAGCTTCAGAGATGACAGGCTATGAAGAGAGCTTCTCACTTCCATCATGCAAATGACCTCTTGAGCTGCTCTGAAACAAAATCAAGGGTGAGCCACATGTGCCTGGCTGAAGAGAAGCGTGAATAGCTATGCTTTAAGCTATTCAGATGAACATGTCAGGGTCTCGCAGCACATATGCTGGGTTCATCTTTTGATTGGCGAGCAGAGCCATGCACTAATGTTATTTCTTCCATGTGTTTAGACACACAGGCTGCTGCTTCTTTCAAAGTGGACGGTAGGAGCCCTTGCTGGTGCCTACAGTGTGAATCAGGCAGAGGCATAACCAACGGCAGCACTACGAGTTTGTGCAGAATGCTGGACTAGACATTTTTAATCTCCAGTGAACTGAAGGCCGAGATGTTCCCCAAATGAATTAGACGATGTGCTCTACACTACAGGTTAGGGCTGAAAGATTAATCGTTTTTATATCGAAATCGCAATTTAAGACCTATTATAGCCTACATTCTTAAAAATATAGTTCTTCAAGGTTCTTAAAAACTGGTTCTCTAGTTAAGACAGTCATTCTATTTTGAACATTCTCCATCAATCTGAGGAACCATTTCACCACACAGAGAACTTTTTATGCATGCAAATGGATTGTTGAGTTCTTATGGTTCTACACAGAACCACTGTCTTTACTGAAGAACCCTTGTAGAACCATCTTCATTAAGGGTGTACGTTGGCAAAAACGTTATTTTAAGTTTTAAGAGGGGAAACAGAACCTTATAAGAGTTTGTGAAGTTAGACCAAACAGAGGCGACCAAACCTCCATGTGTTGTGACATCACAACCACAATTCACTGGCAGTTTGACACACTGTGTTCAGGGGTCGAGCCTTAAGCCAGAAAAGGAGGACGTTCTGGCCTTCTTAGCCAAGACGAATCAGGCCTGAATATTAATTTAAAAAACAAAATTAAAAACCGCAATTTAAATTGCAGTCGCAGCATTTTAGCGGGAAAAATCGCGATTAGCTATTTTCCACAAAACGTTCAGCCCTATTAAGGGTGCAATGATTATTCAACTTAGTCAAGTAAAATCGACGACCAAATTAATCGGCAACTAATTTAATAGTCGATTAGTCGGTGATGTCATTACGCCTCTTTCTCGCGCTCTCTAGGAATGTTTTGACATTAGCGCTTACTGGAGAGTTGACAAAAGAGCGACGCAAGTCTTAAGAACAACATCTGCCTATAGGAGCATCTGAAGAGGAAACACATCAGCTACGGGATGAAGATTCATCTCGGTAAGATATGCTGCGTCCCAAACCGCATACTAGCTCACGAAATAGTCTGTAAGAACAGAGCATATACCATTAGAAGTGCCAAAGCCGTCCTACTTCATGTTATGATCTGTAACATTTTCTATTTAGAAATGCAGGTTCTCTGGTATTGTTAATGGAGCTGGAACAGAGAAGCAAGTAACTAAAGCTACGTTCACGTTACAAGCCTCGTTGCTCAAATCCGTTTTTTTGCTCAAATCCGATCTCTCCGATGGTTCACACTCGTTTAGGTAAGTGATTCAAATCTGTCATTAATGTGACGAACCGGCGTCCTGAAATGACCCTCATGAGCTCATCCTACTCAGTAACGTCACGTGAATGAATCACGATCATCATCAGCACAAACTAACGAGCAGAACGAGCTTCGCTGAGAAGATCATTAACTCTGATCAGCTCTCAGCTTCATTATTAGAGCGAGACGAAGGAGAAAAAGGTGAGATGAGCTGCTTTTCCACCGTTTACAGGCTTTATCTTCTGTTTGGCGCTGCTGCCATGGTAACGCTGAATGATGGCGCGGAGGAATTCCGATCTGAGAGTCACATTAAGGTCTCATGGCCATGAATCGGATACGTATCCGATCTAGGACCACATATGAAAGTGACTCAGGTCGGATTTCAAAAGATCAGATGTGTGTCCACACAGCTCTGAAAATATCAGATCTGAGTCACATTAGAGCAAAAAATCTGATTTGTGCCACTTCAGCCTGATAATGTGAGCATAGCCTATTATTCAAAGCGACCCTGTTCACGTTCCAGATAACGCTGACAGTTTTAAACACCGCATCGTTGCCACTGGTGTGTTCAAATTCGGCGAACGTTTGGCGCCAGACAGTTTCACAAGGTAGTTCTCGGCGGATATGCAAGGCAGCCGGACGAAAAGTTACCGCTGAAATGAAATGTTTACGTAAAATCGTTCATTTAACTGTTCATGGAGAACAAGTTTGCCACAAATGTTCGCCACTTTCCCCTCCGCTCCGTCAGAGCGCGTCTCCTCTGCAGCGGGGTGTGAATATCTGCTCTCAGAGGAGATCGAGACTCTCACAGGAGCACGGAGAAACGCTGACTTTCAATAAAGACCTGTGATACAGACAGACAGCAAAATGCAGAGAGCACAGTTTGCATTTAAAATTTAAATTTAGATTGATGTTTTAGATTAGACTGACTTACTTGATTACGAGAAAAGAGATCTAGTTTTGTTATTTTTTGCTGCTACTTTGCATATCCTTGGTTTTAATATTGGAGTTTTATTTATCTTTTGTATTAGCAGGAAAGTTCATTAAAACAGTAATTTTTTTAATAAATTATTCATCTTTATTGTCTTCATTGTTAGTTACCAAATGCATAAAGCAAAAAAAAAAAAGCTAAATTCAAAAGCTGATAGCTACATAAAGGTTATTTGGAAATGTTGTGATTCATAATCCGAATAATCGATTATTAGTTTCATTAATCGTTACATTATTTGACTATCAAATTAGCAGTTTGTTGCAGCCCTACAACACACTCAAAAAGGATGGTTCTTCAAGGGTTCTTTAGTAAAGGCAACCTATTTAGAACTATGAGATCTGTCCAGACTTTCCATGGTGGAATGGATGGTCAGACGGATGGATAAAAGTGTTGGATATGAATCTATACAGCACCAGAAAGGGTTCTGCTATTGTTATGATGAGCTTGTAACAATATAAGAACCCTTTTTGGTGGTGCTATATGTAGCCCACTCTCAATCAATCTGAAGATCCATCTCACCATGCAAACGGCTCTGAATAGCACCAAAAGGGTTCTGCTATTGTTACAATGTCAAGGTTGTAAACAACAGAAGAAGCCTATTTTGGGTGCTATTATCAAAAACGTTCCATACAGAACCACACACACAACCTGATGAACCATGTCACCATGCAAAGAAGCACTTAAGCCTGAAACTTATGGTTCTAAATACAACCACTGCCTTTACTAAAGAACCCTCTTTTTTAGTGTGTAGATGTTTTCAATCAAAGACGTTCCCCAGATAAATTAGAAGATGCTGCCGAGCTGTGCAGCCCTTTCGCAAGGACTCCCGAGCATCTCCGGACCTGAAAATGAGCTCGTTTTTTGTTGTTATCGCGCAACGATAACAACAACAAGGGAAGCGCCGCGTTGGAGGAGAAATTTAGACCGGGGATTTGAGGCCTAAGACAGGCCTGTATTAGTCTGAGATAGCGAGCCAGCACTCCATACACATTCTGATAGATGTGTGTTTTAGGTGTACTTTATTAGGCTGCCTTAAACAGACTGAAACAGCTCTGAACTGCTAAGTGTTTAGCTGAGCGCTTGTTCAGCTCTGGTTGTGTTTTGGTCGCTGTCGAATGCGAATGCTAACGCGTTAGCTTAGCTTAGCTTAGCTCACTCGCTATCGCTGTTGGTGTACCGCGATTCGTTTCACTTTTTTTAAACGAGCGCACCATATCTTTCGCTCTAGATGATGTGTCTAATAGGTCTGTGTGTGTTTGTGAGCAACTCGACTTCGACATGGTGGTAAATTAGCCCAGTTAGCCCGCTAGCGTTAGCCGGGTTGGCTAACCTTGGCTAGCGGTCGGATCTCCTGCGTTCCTGCTAAGCGAACAAAAAACACAGCCACAAAATACTCACTCCAGACTCTGATCCAGTTCGGTTACACCCTCCATCATAGCAGCCTCGTCGGTCTTCGGCTTAGAAACATCCAGAGAGAGCGGAGAGCCAGCTAACCTGGTCGACGGTCTGGTTCATGGTCCGCCGAAGACGAGCAGATTATTTTGTGGAGTCGATAACCAACTTACAATGCGCCGGTTTGGGCTCCTCCTCTCCCCGCCGAATGAATCCGAGCCATGGGGAGGAAGATGCGATGAGCGAAAACTTCGAAAACCCGCGACGAGTTTCTCCGGGAGGCGACTGAAAACGAAAGCTACACGGTTAGAAAATGTTTCTTCATTCGCACGAGTTTGTGTACGAAGCTGACAGTTTGAACTTGGCTGCTTGTTGTAATTTCCCCGTTCCACCTTAAATGGTGCAGCAGTTACATTCTGGCGCCCTGTGGGCAACAGCTGACTGCTGCACCGTTTAAGGTGGAACGAGGAGATTACGGCGAGCAGCCAACATTAGCTTCCTTTCCTACTACTGCTTTTTGAAGCTCTTTATTTATATTAAGTTATAATGTATTGGTTGCTTTACTAACTTGTGGGCTGTAGAATGTAGCTGCTGCACCATTTAAGGTGGAACGGGAGATTCGAACAAGCAACTAACGTCAGCTTCCTCTGCTACTATATTTATACTTTATTACGTTATAGAATATTGATTGCTTTCCTAACTTGTGGTCTCCGGAATGTAGCTGCTGCTCCATTTAAGGTGGAACGAGGTGATTACGACAAGCAGCCCACTTAAGCTTTCTCTACTACTACTGCTTTTTGAAGCTCTTTATTTATATTAAGTTGTAAAATGTTGATTGCGTTCCTAACTTGTGGGCTGTAGAAAGCTGCTGCACCATTTAAGGTGGAACGGGGAGATTACAACAATCAGCTAACTTTAGCTTCTATCTACTACTGGTTTGAAGCTGTTGATTTATATTAACGTATAATAACAACAGGATACTTTCTGAACTGCTCCAGTGTTTCCTCAGTCCTCAAGACTGCTGCACCATTTAAGGTGGAACGGGGAGATTACGACAAGCAGCCAACTTCAGCTTCCTCTACTGCTACTGTTTTTTCAAGATGTTGATTTATATTAACGTATAAAAACATATTGGATGCTTTATGAACTGCTCCAGTGTTCCCTCAGTCCTCAAGACTGCTGCACCATTTAAGGTGGAACGAGTCAATTACAACAAGCAGCCAAATTCAGCTCCCCTTCCCACTACTGCTTTTTGAGGCTCTTGAAGTATGTTAAAATATATTGGTTTCTTTCCAAACTTGCAGGCTCCAGAATGTAGCTGCTGCTCCATTTAAGGTGGAACGGGGAGATTACAACAAGTAGCCAACTTCAGTTTCCTCTACTGCTGTTTTTTGAAGCTCTCAGTTTATATCACCATATGACATATTAGTTGCTTTCTTAACTGTGGGTGCCAGAATGTAACTGCTGCACCATTTAAGGCCATTTAAGGTGGAACGGGGGAATTACAACAGCCAGCTTCAGCTTCAGCTACCTCTACCACTACTGTTTTTTGATGCTCTTAATTATATTAAGTTATAATATACTGGCTGCTTTCTTAACTGTGGGTGCCAGAATGTAACTGCCGCACCATTTAAGGCCATTTAAGGTGGAACAGGGAGATTACAACAAGCAGCTAATTTAAGCTTCCTCTATTACCACTGGTTTTCTAAGCTCTTGATTTATATTAACATGTATTAACATATTGGTGGCTTTCCTGACTGCTCCAATCTTCCCTCAACCCTCAGAACTGCTGTACCATTTAAGGTGGAACGAGGAGATTACAACAGCCACGCAACTTCAGCTTCCTGTACTGCCGTTTTTTAAGCTCTCAGTTTATATCAACATATGACATAGTAGTTGCTTTCTTAACTGTGGGTGCCAGAATGTAACTGCCTGGAACGGGGAGATTACAACAGTCATCCATCAGCTTCCTCTACTACTGTTTTTTTTGATGCTCTTGATTTATATTCACATACAATAACATATTGGTTGCATTCTTAACTGCTCCAATCGTCCTCAACCCTCCAGACTTTTTAAGGTGGACTGGGTAAATTACAACAAGCAGCCAATTTCAACTTCCTCTACTACTAGTTTTTGAAGCTTTTGATTTATATTAACATATAATATAACATGTTGGTTGCTTTCTTAACTGCTCCAATCTTCCCTCCAGAACCCTCAAGAACATGTCTGCTGTAGTACTCCAAGTGGGACAGTGTGGAAACCAGCTAGGCCTCGAGTGGTGGAAGCTGCTGAGCCACCGCAAGAAAAGGTAATTATTCCACCAGGTTGTCTCATGGTCTCCATAGCTTTCAGTTTGTTTAGGACGTCACTTGGACAGTTTACACTCTTTCACTGAGGGCCTTCAATCGAGAACTGTCTACAACCTCATTTAAAAACTGTTCTCGTCTCATCAGCTTCAAAAAACAGGTTAAAACTCTTCTGCTCTCAGTGTGAAACGCCTAATCATGTGTTTGTGTATTTTGTGACTGTTGTTATGCGTTTGTTTTTTATGTTGTTCAATTTAATACATGTTGTCTTTGAGGGAAAGTACTTTGTATGAGAAAAAAATGTTTTTTTCTAAAAAAAACGTGCATTTAAATAATGCCTGGCTGCTTTTACAAACAAAATCGACATTTTACCGTCATGTAAGAGAGCATTGTTTGTGTCTAGATGCCCCTTCAGCTCCCGAAATGGAAAGCTAGCCGCGGTGTGTGTGGACACAGAGCCCAAAGTCCTCAGAGGAGCTCGGGAGTTTGTTAAAAAGGAGTAAGTCTGATATCTGATATTATACAACAGTCAGTTCCGGCCACGCGAGCTGATTGGTTGAGAAGCGTTCTAACTGTGCTGTTATTTCACCATAAGATCACGGGTTTTTCACAAACACTGTATCACTCCGCTGAGACACCGTTGCTAAGCAGCGACTTTGACAGCTGTAGGAGACGCTCAAGACGTTTGAACGTTTTTACTTCTTATTTTGCCACAAACAGAAAATGGACACTTATAAGATCACATTTGACCGACAGCCGATTTGGTCAGACTCTGAAGATGAGACGACACTAAATTCCCAAACTGTCATCACCACTGAGCAGCTTTTCAGTCGGCAGCTGTGACAGAAGTACAGCTAAACAACCTGGAATCAGCCAGAAATGAACCCAACACCATTCGCCAAACTAAATGGGCTGTAAGATGCTTTACAGACTGGCTGGAACAAAACAACATTAATACTGATCTGGAAAAAACTGACAAAACTGAGCTGAACTTGATATTGCGGCAGTTTTATGGCTCAGTCTGATTTGGTCAGACTCTGAAGATCAGACTACACGTTTGGCGAATGGTATTGGGTTTCCATATGGTTGTCTAATGGCTTTGTAATAGTTTTCTTACAGTTGTCTGATCGTTTTCTAATGGTTGTCTGTTTTTCTAATGGTTTTGTAATGTTTTTCTAAAGGATGTCTAATTGTTTTCAAATGATTTTCTAATGGTTTTCTATGGGTTTTCTGATGGTTGTCTAATGGTTTTCAGATTGCTGTCTAATGGTTGTCTTATGGTTTCCTGATGGTTCTCTAACGGTTTTCTAATGGTTGACTAATGGTTGTCTTATGGTTTTGAGATTGTTTTCTAATAGTTTTGTGATGGTTTTCTATTGGTTGTCTAATGGTTTTCTAGTGGTTGTCTAGGGGTCTTCAAGTATTTGTCTGATGGTTTTTTAATGGTTTTCTTATGGTTGTCTAATGGTTTTCTTATGGTTGTCTAATGGTTTTGTAATTTTTTTAATGGTTTTCTAATGGTTTTCTATTGATTGTCTAATAGTTTTCTAATGGTCTTCTGATGGATTTCTAATAGTTGTCCGATGTCTTTGTAATATTTTTGTAACTGTTTTCTAATGGTTGTCTAATGGCTGTCTAATGGTTTTTGGCTTGTGCCTGCGACCAAATCACAGCCGTGATGTTATCTCGCGATGACACGCTCCCTCTCGTGTTCTATTGCTTAATTGAAATTGCTGTAATTCTTGTCCTCAGTGGTTTTTACATCTCAACCCTCCTCCCTGCAGTAAATTACGTCCGTCCAGCGTCGTGGAGGGGAAGGGAGGGCGTGGAGGAAACTGGGCTTATGGTGAGACCTTCAGGAGGACGTTTGTAGTTTCATTGTGTTCAAAAAAAAGAGAGACCAGCCCTGCAGCTTTTGAACCTTCAAACCAGGTTACCATGGAGGCCCAGGTGAAGGAGTTAGAGGTTTACTCGAGCGAACAATGGAGGCGCTTCGTCAGGAGGCAGAGAGACGGGATTATTACGGAGGAACGGTTCTTCTGCACAGCCTGGGCGGAGGCACAGGGTCAGGTGAGCAGAAGAATCAGATCCAGACTTCACTGGTCAAGTATGTTTGCGCCTACAGAGCAGTTCAATAGCTCATCAGTGAAAGGTTTGGTGTTTCAAAGGGGAATTCCACCAAATTTTTCAAAATATTTCTTCATAATTCAGTGTGTGAGATGTGAACAGAGTGATTCAGAGTGGTTTGGTGTGAAATGGTTCAGATGTCTTTACAGTGGTGCTGATAGGAATCAGGGGGCGCCATGACTACAACACTAATATAGACATATTATTTACTATCCAGAACCACCAGTGAACCTACACGAGTCTTCTGAGTTTATATGGAATGTTGATGATGGAAAATAGTGGAAAATCTGAAATAATAAGTTTTCTTTGGGGACTATTTTGCCTCACAGTGCCCTGCATGTATCCCTCCACCATGAATGGAGTTTAAGTTCTCCAAACTATCATAAAACAGTGTCTCAGTCATCAGGCAGTGAATTCATAACCATTTCATGTAGGAACTTTCTGTGAGGGAGCTTTTAGAGGTGGACGTCTGGTTCCTATCACCACCACTGTGAACAATTCTGACTCAGTAAGTTTATCTAGAACAGAGCGTTTCACACCAAACCACTCTGAACCGCTCTGAATGACTCTCTTTACATCTTAACTACTTAATTGTACAGGAATATTGAAAAATTGGTGAATTTGCACTTTAAGGTTGCTGCTTTTGTAATAGAAGTCTATTACAGTCTACCGAAAAGACTGACAGAATATCTTTTCTTGTTAGCTCGAGTCGCCTCGTAGCTCCAGTGCAAAATGTATCAAGTATTATTTGTTATGTTGGTATTTGTTTCTGTAATTAGTATTTTGCCTTTTTTTTCTTTGAAGCCATAAAATCTCTACCATTAATGACAATTAGTTTTATCAGCAAAGGCCTTAAGATTGGGCCATTACTGTATTACTGTTAACATATGGAAAATGTTAAAAATAAATAATTAAAATAAAAGTTTTATGTAAAAAAATAAATAATATCTTTGGGAGATGTGGTGGGTACTTACTATCCAATGATTTATGCTACTTGAACATCATAGCCACCTACTGATTATATTTTGAACTGCAGTAACAAATATACTTAAAATTACAGCGCTAAATATGGAACGTAAATATTATTGTTTTTAGGGCGGGGATGCACAAGGTAGGTGTTTCTAATAAAGTGGCCAGTTAGTGGAGGCACAAGGTGGGTGTTTCTATTAAAGTGGCTAGTGAATGGTAGCACAAGGTGCGTGTTTCTAATAAAGTGGCCAGTGAGTGGAAGCACAAGGTAGGTGTTTCTAATGAAGTGGCCAGTGAATGGAAGCACAAAGTAGGTGTTTCTAATAAAGTGGCCAGTTAGTGGAAGCACAAGGTGCGTGTTTCTAATAAAGTGGCCAGTGAGTGGAGGCATAAGGTAGGTGTTTCTAATAAAGTGACCAGTTAGTGGAAGCATAAGGTAGGTGTTTCTAATAAAGTGGCCAGTGAGTGGAGGCATAAGGTAGGTGTTTCTAATAAAGTGACCAGTTAGTGGAGGCATAAGGTAGGTGTTTCTAATAAAGTGGCCAGTCAGTGGAAGCACAAGGTGCGTGTTTCCAATAAAGTGGCCATTTAGTAGAGGCACAAGGTAGGTGTTTCTAATAAAGTGGCCAGTTAGTGGAGGCATAAGGTAGGTGTTTCTAATAAAGTGGCCAGTTATTGAAAGCACAAGGTGCGTGTTTCTAATAAAGTGGCCGGTCAGCGGAAGCACAAGGTAGGTGTTTCTAATAAAGTGGCCAGTGAGTATACTCTTCAGTTGATATCCTGTTTGTTTATCTTGTCTTCCTGCTCCTGGGTCACGGGTGCAGGGCTTGGCTCCAGGCTATGCGAGCAGATCCGTGAAGAGTTCCCTGTGGGTCATATCCTGACGGTCTCGGTGGTCCCTCTTCAGAGCGGAGAGAGCCCCCTCCAGCACTACAACACTTTACTGAGCCTGGCATCACTGCATAGGTCAGTATGTTGAAGTTTGCTCCTGTAGTTTTAGCACTGGAGCTGCGAGTCTGATGTAGGAAATAAACAGAGTCAGGAACCACATAAGCAAGTCTGTTTGAGAGCTTCTGTTCTTTGTAAGCTACATTGGCCTCGCAGCTCCAGTGCTAAAACTAAAGAAGCAAACTTCAGACACCAAACACGTCTCAGCAGGACTGACTACATTTGGGGAACGGTGGGGATCAGTTGACTTTTTGTGTTTTCTTATAATTAAGAAATAATCTAGAAATAAACAAAAACAAAACAGAGAGCTAACGAAACAAATCGCAGCCATTTTTAGAAGAACGGCATTGGCTGCCTGTGTCGTTTAGGATAGATTTCTTCTATCCTAGTTCTTTTATTGGTTTTAAAGCCCTGAGTGGCCTTAAAGCAGCTCACAGAACGTCTGTTTATGTTCCAGCACCTGATCTTAGATCTGCAGACTCTGGTTTTCTCCAAACACGCTGTAAACTACAGAAACAGTGGAGCAGTGGAGAGGCCTCTTTCTGTTTTTACCCATCTAAACTGTCGAACTCATCACCTCTTACAATTAGGCAGTTCTTTTTCTCCTGCTTTTGTGTGTTTTTTGCCTTTATTATCTTATTTTACTGTTTGACAATAAAGCACTTTAAGCTGCTTTGTGTATGAAAAGCGCTCTGTATATAAAATGTATATTACTATTGTTATTATTATTATTAATAATGACCTCAATTTTATAATCATTGTTCATGACAGTTTTTAGAAGAAGATTTCTACCAGATTGACCCTTTGACTTTGGTATAAAGCATGGACAATTAAATCATCTATAATCTGTCATTTTGCTTTATAAGCAGTGCTTTTATTTAATTATATGGCTTTAAAAAGATAAGTAATCCAAAAGTAACCAGACTACGTTATGTTCCGCCCCTGTCCTGCAGCCTGCAGACAGACCCTTCTCTCCTGAGCAGCTGTAACTCCGCTGTGGCTGTTTCTCCAGCGGTGTCGGTTCTGCCGGATCAGTTTGATCCAGAGTGCATCTTCTCCACACGCTACAGCACTAAACACACTCCTCCTCCTCCAGTAGCCGCTGTGCGCTGTGTGAGGGGGTGGAGCTCGCTGGTAGGCGGGCAGTAAGGACTGTGTTACGAGATGACATCATCCTGTAACAAAGGAAAAGGGCTGGAATTCCAGTGAGGCGTTTCAGGCAGCTGAATAAAGTGGATTCTGTGGGAGAGAGTTTCTCCCTCTGGAGGGAACACTGAGCTTTGGGACTCTGCAGAACGTTTACATGCACAAAAAGCTACAAAACATTAAAGGAAAGAGAAAAAAAGGGAAAAGCATAATAAAGGTCCCCTTTAACGCTCTGTGTAACCCACAGGTGTGCTGATGGCGTTCTCCTGTTTTGTAATGACCACGCTTTGTCTCACGCTGGACTTCAGCAGAGGTCAGGACCACCAGGCTCACTCTCAGCCATAAATACATACATCGCCTCGTGCCTGGCTGGACTCCTGCTCCCAGTGCAGAGCCTCACTACACACAGGTACCGCACTGAACCCGAACATGGTGCTTTCACACAGTGTGCTGTTTGGAACTGTAATTTTTTAGATATTTTGTTCAGTATTTCAAAGATTTTTTGGTGTAAGATTTCAAAGTTATTATATACTGTAATTACGGATTCACAGTTTTTTGTCAAGCTTTGAAATATGAAGTTTCTTTTGGATGGAACTTCATTCTGGATGTTTTACAGTCATTTTATATATATATATATATATAATTCTGCACGTTTATAGTTATGTTGTAAATGCTGTATCTGTGGTCTTCTTCTAGTAGGTGGAATTTGGGAACGGAGCCGTGGGAGCTGATCCGGTCCGTGTGCCCCATTCCTTCAGCCAAACTTCTCTACACCACTCAGGCCTCCTCTGGGTAAGGGCGGATGGTAGGGCGATAAACACGATGATCACATCATTAATATCATCATAGTATTCAGTATACATTATAGTATTTGTACGTTCAAGTCAAATTACATCTAAACATCTCAGCCCTTCCCCAAACATCTCATAACATAAATCGTCAGCTCAGAATGGCATTAATACAAAATGTACAGTTGTCCCACAACGCAAAATCATGAAACACAGTATGATTCAAAATTAACCTAAGAAGAAATAAAATAATAATAACAGTGATGCTACTGCTGATAATATTATTATTATTATTATTAACAACCATGATGATAATAATAATAATAATAATAAGAAGAAGAGAGTAAATAAATAAATATATACATTTATGCATTCAGCGTATTCACAGGCGGAATGTTAAGGTGCCGACTCAATATCTACTTCCTCTGAAAATTTCAGCAACAAATTCCAAAACTCAAGTTTACATTTTATCGTATAAGTCTCATGGGTCAAATGCAAGGACCGCGGGCCGAGTCAGGCCCGTGACACAATCCTATTCGGCCCGCAAAATTATTTTAACCAGTTATTCTCCAGGGTATATTTTGGTTTTTCCATCTGAATTTATGCCCAAATCCTAAGGCAAATTATTCAGTAACTGCATGAATCAGATGTAAAGTGTTGGTGTTTTTTTTTGTAAAAGCTCCCCTCAAATTAAAGTGTTTTATGATCACACATATTGCCATATGCTTACAATTTACTGCTGAAAGCCAAAAATCTGAGATGCTCTTTGTATTATTTTATAATAATAATGTTTACAGAGCAGATCACTGAAGAGACGCCATCTGTTTATAGTTTATAGCCCAGATTTGTGAAAAATGGGTCGACTTTCAGCTTCTTTTATTATAAGGGTTTAAAATGACATCACCATCTATTTGACTGGAAAGAAGACAGTTACAGCCTCATACGACCCCCACCTTTAGAATGTAGCTTATGAAATATGAAAGTTATGAAGTAAAGAATATGACGAAGTGCGCTTTGGAACCACTGGTGGTTTCAAGGAGTTAAAGAAGTTATTTTTCTATTAATATTGGCCCATTTCACCATGACCAGCATGCACTGTAAAGCAATTAGTGCTCCTACCTGCTCACCAACAGTGAGCTATGAGCTATGAACCCTTTAATCATGCAAAGGTTTCTTTGAGTGTTCATTGTTCTGTACAGGACCATTTTCTTTACTAAAGAGCCCTTGAAGAACCATCCATTTAAGAGTGTAGTAAAGAACATGGTTCTATACAGAACCTTGAACACTCACAGAACCCTTTGCGTGATTAAAGTGTTCTTTGCATCGTGAAAGCGTTCTCCACATTGATGGAGAATGTGCTGTATATGGTTCTTTTTTGGCACCAAAAAGAGTTCTTCTATTTTTACAAGCCTGACATTGTTAAAATAGCAGAACCCTTTTGGGTGCTATAGAACCCTTTTCAAAGCTTCTACATAGAACCATATACAACACATTGTCCATCAGTCTGAGGAACCCTTTTTCAATGCAAAGAACCCTTTAATCATTCAAATGGTTCTTTGTTCATGGTTCTGTATAGAACCATTTTCCTTTCTAAAGAACCCTTGGAGAACCATCCTTTTTAAAAGTATTAAAGAAAATGGTTCTACACAGAACCATGAACACTCAAAGAACCCTTTGCATGATTAAATGGTTGTTTGCATCGCAAGTGTTCTTCAGATTGTTAGAGAACGTGCTGTAGATGGTTCTATATAGAATGTTTCTGAAACCAAAACAAGCCAGAAAGAGTTCTTCTAATGTAACAAGCTTGATATCGTAAAAATACAAGAACCATTTTTAAAAATGTTCTATACAGAACCATCTACAGCACGTTCTCAATCAATCTGAAAAAACTTTCATGATGCAAAGAACCCTTTAATCATGAAAAGGGTTCTGTGAGTGTTCATGGTCATATATAGAACCATTTTCTTCAGTAAAGAACTATTGAAGAACCAGTTTTTCTAAGAGTGGAGCTGATGTCTCTTTGTGTCTGTGCAGTGGGAGGTCGCACTGGGACAGTTTGGTCAGTGGAACGCTGCAGGCCATTCCTCAGCTTTCACCCACCGGAACACCTGTATCCTTAACACGGAGCTGCAGCTCACATCGTCTGTCCGTTTGACTCAGAATCATTCCAGAACTTCCACGTAGAGCCGAGATGACGTCACTCTCCGGTGTGAGCTTAGAAAAGGCTGCAGAGAACCTGGCCTTCAGGAGGTTCTGCTCACGAGGCTTAAACAGCCTTAATGCTGAAGAGTGAAGTGCGTTTGGGCAGATGTTCAGGAGCAGGACTGAGAACCCTGATCACGTTCCATTCCTACACTTAAAAAAAAAGTTCTTCAAGGGTTCTTTAGTGAAGAAGTGTTCTATACAGAACCAGGAACACTCAAAGAACCCTTTGCATGAGGGTGTTCTATATAGCACCAAAAAGGGTTCTTCCATTGTAGCAAGCTTGATATCGTAACAACAGAAGAACCCTTTTTGGCACTGTATAGAATTCTTTTCAAAAAGGTTCTTCATCGGTCTGAAGAACCATTTTTAGTTGATGCAAAGAGCCCTTTAATCATGCAAAGGGTTCCTTGAGTGTTTATGGTTCTATTTAGAACATTTTTTTACTAAAGAACCCTTGAAGAACCAGTGTAGTAAAGAAAATCGTTCTATATAGAACCATGAAAATTCAGAGAACCCTTTGATTGATAAAGCGTTCTTTGCATCATGAAAAGGATCTTCTATATAGAACCATCTACAGCACATTCTCCATCAATCTGAAGAACTCTCATCCTGTATGGTTCTTCAAGGGTTCTTTAGTAAAGAAAACGATCCTGTATAGGACCATGAACACTCAAAGAACCCTTTGCATGATTAAAGGGTTCTTTGCATCATGAAAGGTTCTTCAGAAGATGAGCTGTATGTGAGCTGAGTGTGAAGGTGTTGTATTTTAAGCTCAGGACTGACCGTTCAGCGTTATTAAGCGTTCCTTATCGCTGAGCGCAGTACTCCAGCCGTGCTGTGTTGGCAGTTGCCCGTGGCGACCAGGACAGCTCCTTCATCACTTCGAATGTCCTGCAGAAGCTGAGACACGGACACAGGTGTGTCCAGTGGAATCCTTTTCCAGTTGACCACTGGACTGGTGAGTCAAATCTACAAACTCTTTTAGAAATAAGTAGCTGAGCAGTAGAGCGCAGAGGGAGGAGTTAGTGTGAAAAACATCACAGCTGTGATTCGGTTCTGTTCTGCTGCTTTCGTACGATTAATTTAAACATTTTAACAACAAAGCCCGAAAAAATTTCCAATAAATGTTTTAATAATGGCAAATTCTTCTCCCCAAAGAAGACGTTCCACAACAAATGTTGAGCAAACAGTCCAACAGAGTATCAGTGTGACTATTTAATAACTGAATAATTGAACACAAATGTTGCTTATATACACAGATCAGGCATAACATTCTGACCACCTCCTCGTTTCTGAGTGGATCAGACACAGCAGTGCTGCTGGAGTTTTTAAACACCTCGGTGTCACTGCTGGACTGAGAATCGTCCACCAACCAAAAATATCCAGCCAACAGCGTCCTGTGGGCAGCGTCCTGTGACCACTGATGAAGGACTAGAGGATGACCAACACAAACTGTGCAGCAGCAGATGAGCTATCGTCTCTGACTTTACGTCTACAAGGTGGACTGACAAAGTAGGAGTGTCTAATAGAGTGGACAGTGAGTGGACACAGTGTTTAAAAACTCCAGCAGCACTGCTGCGTCTGATCCACTCGCACCAGCGCAACACACACTAACACACCACCACCACATTAGTGTTACTGCAGTGCTGAGAATGATCCACCACCCAAATAGTACCTGCTCTGTGAGGGTCCATGGGGGTCCTGACCACTGAAGAACAGGGTAAAAGGGGGCTAACAAAGTATCAGAGAAACAGATGGACTACAGTCTGTAACTGTAGAACTACAAAGTGCACCTATATAGTAAGTGGAGCTGATAAAATGGACAATGAGTGTAGAAACAAGGTCATAATGTTATGCCTGATTTGGGGTATTTGTTGTTTTTTGTGAACAATTCTTTTTTAGACAAAAATAAATGACCTTCATGAATAAAGAATAATAAATATACAGCTTCAATACGTTCCTCCCCACCACCCCATAAAGGGGGAAAGAAAAAAAACAAAACAAGAATGGAATATTACTGGAATACTGGAATATTACTATTACTTTTAATTTCTTGTTAGTTAGTTTTTATTGTATTTTTTTATTTACACTTTTGTACTTTTCATTATAATTATTGATATATCCCTTTTCTGCTATTTGTAATTTGTTTATTATATTTTGTTTTTATTTTTGATGACCTTCTTTCTCTTCTTGCTGTGTTGTTTTTACTTAGTATTGTGAAGCACTTGGTGAAGCTGCCTTTTTAATGTATGACAGGTGGTATATAAATAAACATTATTATTATTTATTGGTAGCCTGCTGCAGTACCATAAAGTAAATCAATAAATCAAAATAATGCTGGAAAAACAGCTAGTAAATAGTAAACAATAGTAAATGTGAGTATATAACTGATAAAAGTTCAGAAAGAGGACAGGAAGTAGTTTTACTTAACACAGTATTCCACCCTCCACCGTCCCAGCCTTGGCGCTGTGTATACAGGCTATTAACGTTCCATTAAAATGATATCCAGTAATATTAGGGTCCAAAGACGTCTACACAGCGAACATGTGGGGTTCTAGCGTTTTACTAATAAGCATTTTGTAGCTGTGAAAGCAGCTCGCAGTAGATTTCTCTGCCATAATGACAAATATGATTTGAAAAATAATTTTAAAAAAGAATAAATCTGGTGTTGAATGTATGCACCGATGTATGATGCGAACAAAGCATGTTTACAACAGATGTATTGATGGTTAAATGTTTTCATTTTGGCCAGAGTGTCCCTTCAAAGGGGAACTCCACCAATTTTTCAAAAATTCTCCATAATTAAATGGTTAACATGTAAACAGAGTGGTTCAGAGTGGTGGTGATAGGAACCAGACGTCCACCTCTAAAATATCCCTCTCAGAAAGTTACTACATGAAATGGTTATGAATTCACTGCCTGATGACTGAGACACTGTTTTATGATAGTTTTGAGAACTTAAACTCCATTCATGGTGGAGGGATACATGCAGGGCGCTGTGAGGCAAAATAGTCCCCAAAGAAAACGTATTATTTCAGATTTTCCACTATTTTCCATCATCAACATTCATATAAACTCAGAAGACTCGTGTAGGTTCACTGGTGGTTTTTTCTGTTAAGGCTGAATTATTGATAGCATGCTGCCTCCACACTGTAGAAAGTGCTGGACACTGATAAAATTAAGACTTAAAAGGTCCTGTGCACCCCTTGAGGACATAAATTAGATGGAAGAAGTAGGCAGATGTATACAATAATATTTCAGAGGAGTTAAGTCAACTCTATATATAAGTTTCCAATAAACAGTCTGGTGATTTGGATTTTTAGAAGCCATAAGAATAAAATTTCAAGTGTGATTGGGAAAGTAATCCTGTTTTTTTTTTTGGCCAGAAAATTATATCATATTATTACAACTGATTATGGAAGTTTCTAATATTCAGAATTCAGAATCTGATGCAATTGAATCTCTACCTTCTGAGTTTTTTGCATTTTTTCATGTTATTTCTGTCCTTTTCTTTCTCAGATCCGCTGAACGAGCTCGGCGTCTCCGCCTCCTCCCGTCTGCTCACTGTGAGCTCCAATCACAGCAGTGTTTCGGGGTTTCTGGGCCGTGTAGTTCAGCGTGCTGAAGAAATGCTCCAAGCTCGGGCCTACCTGCACTGGTACCGGCGCTACGGAGCGGAGACGGAGGACTTTCAGCAGGCCTTAAATACTGTAACAGATATCATTCAGGAGTACGACTCTCAGTGACGCTGTAGACCAGCACTGAAAACTAACGTAACTTTAAGAAAGACTTTTTTATTTATTTCTCCAGCTCTTTACTTTGTGTGAACATTTTATGATAAATGGAGCAACAGAACTGGTACTGAAAGTACTTGGAGTAAAACCTTATTACATCATTTATCACTAAAAGCAAGGTCCACCAATATTTTTTTGGAAATTTCACCAGCAAATGAACTAATAAATCTCTGATGGGAAACTAAAATCAATTTGTGTTAGCGTGTTGGGGTTACTGTGGACCAAAAGGACACATTAAGATTTTTTAATAATAAATAAATAAGTAAAATAGTGAATGTTCTCTTTATTAATTTCCTACAACAGCAACAACATACATATTTCATATCCATGGTTAGAGCTTGCCTGGATCTTTTACTCTTATAATGGCTCTGAAATCAATAATCTTCCATTGTAAATGGAAAACGTGCTGTTATTCTCTTTTTGGACCAAAATAAAAGCTGAAAAAAAACACAACAGAATGAAATGAAATCCAAAAAAGATCAAGAACTACATGTTAAAAATTAAACAGAGGACAATTTACTCACTAATATACTAAAGTAGAATTAGCATTTGTAAATACTCAGAAACACAAATCCATCAGAATTTAACTCATCAGGGTAAGCATAACTAGTTAGTACCCAACTCAAAACATAATATATTTTATCCATGTGAAAAAAGTTTCATCACATTACCTGTATTACTATTAAAGGGGCATTCCAGCTTTAAACTAACATTTAATATGTATTTTTTATATAATATTCTCATGCTCAGCATTATATTCCTCGTCAGTTTGACAGAATTCATTGTCAGTGTGCTCTCACTACAATACCCAGAATGCATAACGCAAATAACCACTGGGAATACCTGTTGCTAGCGTAGCTACTCAGCTATACACTCTTAAAAATATGGTTCTTCAATGATTGTTTAGTAAAGAAAACAGTTCTATATACAACAATAAACACTCAATGAACCCTTTGCTTGATTAAAGGGTTCACTGCATTGTAAAAGCGTTATTCAGATTGATGGAGAATCTGTTGTGTATGGTTCTATATAGATCCTTTTTAAAAGGGCACCAAATATAGCACCAAAAGGTGTTCTGCTGTTACGATGTCAAGTTTGTAACAATGGAAAAACACTTTAATCATGCAAAGGGTTTTTTGAGTGTTCATAGTTCTATATAGAACCATTTTCTGTACTTAAAAGAACCCTTAAGAACCATATTTTTAACAGTGTAGGCTAATAAATACAAACAGGCCTGCACAGGTTTAACTCCTTGACCGTCAACTTGACCGTCAAACAAAGTCGAAAAAATGGCTGCAGTAAGACGCTCAGCATTCTAGCAGTGTGTTTGCAATCTGGCTGTCTGTTCCTGGTGATAGGAACCAGACGTCCACCTCTAAAAGCTCCCTCACAGAAAGTTCCTACATGAAATGGTTATGAATTCACTGCCTGATGACTGAGACACTGTTTTATGACAGTTTGGAGAACTTAAACTCCATTCATGGTGGAGGGATACATGCAGGGCGCTATGAGGCAAAATAGTCCCCAAAGAAAACTTATTATTCCAGATTTTCCACTATTTTCCATCATCAACATTCCATATAAACTCAGAAGACTCGTGTAGGTTCACTGGTGGTTCTGGATGGTAAATAAAATGTCTATATCTGTGTTGTAGTCATGGCGACCCCTGGTTCCTATCACCACCACTGTAAAGACATCTGAACCATTTCACACACCACTCTGAGTTACTCTGTTTACACCTAAAATTACTGTATTACGCAGAAAATATCTATAAAATGTAGAAAACTTGGTGGAATTCCTCTTTACCAGGGTAGACGGCGCTGTCCTGTTCTGTGGACACTGAGCCCACAGAGGAGGAAGTTACTGCGCTGTTCATGCTGAATCGTCCGTCCGTGTCATTATTCGGTCACACGGACGGCACTTTTAAACTTTTTTAATCATATAAAAGGCTCGGTGTGACCTCTAACTCTGTCTCGTCACTTATAATCGAGCCAAAGCTTCTGTAAGTGTGTAATATTTGGCGCTTTTCTGAATTTCGGCCTTGTTTTTTGGTCTTCAGGTGGAGCTAACTGTGCTAACTCTGCGTCAGCCTTTAGCGCCAGTTATAAGCTAGTTATAATCTTATTTATTGCCTTTCCTAAGTCGATATAAATTACTGAAGTCGGTATAAAGAGAGTGGAATCCTTATCTCGACCTTTTTTGTTATCATTTCTGTGTTTTTTGTGTTTCCATGACTGGCTGGTTAGCTTGGCGCAGCTAATTGTTCATCGTGGCTAAGCTAAGCTAGCTGGCTAACGTAAGTGACGTTAAGTATTTTCTGTAAAAAATAATCCTTTTTCGGTGTCCGAGGCTGCTGAGGGAATCCGAAGCTAATTCCTTAACCAGGAATACCGTCTCCGAAGGAAAGGTTTTCCAATGTTGTGTCGCCTAGTCGTTTTGGTGGTAAACGTTAGTCAGGTCAGCTAGCAGGCCTGCTAGCCAACCTAGCTGCTGATAATGCAGAAGGCGCAGTTCATTCCGCGGAGGTTGTTTATATCGAGGTGTTTTAAATCACGACGAAGCTAAACTTGTTCGATTTTTTAGTTCCACCTTAAATGGTGCAGCGGTCTTTTGCACCATTTAAGGTGGAACGGAAAGTCGAACAACCATCGTCACGTTAAAGGGTAACTCCACTGATTTTTCAGAATTTCATTTAATTCAGAGTGGTTTGGTGTGAAATGCTCCATTTTAGAGAAGTGTCAGAATTGTTCACAGTGGTGGTGATAGGAACCAGACGTCCACCTCTGAAATCTCCCTCACAGAAAGTTACTACATGAAATGGTTATGAATTCACTGCCTGATGTCTGAGACAGTTTTAGGTTATGTTTGTGGTTCCTATCATCACCACTGTAAAGAAATTTGAATCTCTGCAATCAACCATTTCACACCAAACCACTCTGAATGACTCTGTTTACATCTCAAACTCAGAAATGGTGGAATTTCCCTTGAAGTGCCTTTGCTTTCCTGATGTAAGGTGGAATTCAGCGTCTTCTCTTGTAGTTGTGGATGTGTTTGTTTTGTTGCTGTACTATTTGTGTCTGTCAAAAGGCACTAGTTCAAATTCTGTGCTTGGCCTTGAAGGAACGAGTGACTGGTTCATGCGTATGTGGTGGAAATATGAGCTGCAAGTGGAAAGGAAATGCATTTGAATATCTGGCATGGCGGATTTCAAATAAAATGGTGGTGCGCATGTTCTTCATGGAGGAAATGGTTCCTCATGTTTTTCATGGGTGAAATAGTTTCTGATCATGTTCTTTATGGATGTAAAATGCGTGAACATGTTCTTCATGAGTGTAATAGTTCCTCAGAATGTTCCTTAAGGTTGTAATAGTTTGTGAATGTTTTTCATAGATATCGCTCATGAATGTGTTCCACATGGGTGTCATAAATGGTTCCCAAAATATTGTTTTGGGGAGAAATGGCTCCTTAATATGATTACAGTGTATATTAATGAATGTCATAGATTGTTCTTCATTGGATAAGTAATACTTACAATGTTGCTCTTGGCGAGTGTAGTAGTTTGTGAACATGTTCTTCATGTTCTAGTACCTCCAGATGTTCCTCAGGGGAAAATCGTTCTCAGTAGGTTCTTCATTGGTGTAATAGTACCTCCAGATGTTCTTCAGGGGAAAAGTTGTTCTCAGTGGTGTAACAGTTCTACATTGGTGTAACAGTTTGTGAATACGTTCTTCATAGGTTTAATGGGTCCTAAGTTGCTCTTCATGGGAAGTCATGGTCCAGTTCTGTGCCAGTAGACTACGCTGTGGTCTGAACTGCTCGCATATCAAACTGGAGTTCAGTAGGTTGCTGCAGAACGACACTAATGTGTAATGAAGTACGTTATTAGGGCTAGTGTGGCATATTACAATCCAGCAACATGCTGATCGGGAACTGACCGTCTACGTTATTGGTCACCAAGGTTGGATTGCTCGGGATGCATTTTGGTTTAAAACTATATTTCAGGGATCTTCCATGGTATTGCAAGCAAAGTCAAATGTCAGGTGATGTGCTGTTGCTGTCTTTTCTAGTCCTGGAACATGTGTTAACGTCTACCACTGAGGTCCTTTATTAACCACTGGTTTTGGAATTGGAAAACGTAGAATACTACAACTCGGTTGGTCTTGGCTACGACACGGATAACACTGTTATGTGTGCCCCTTTTGTCTGCAGGTGCTGTTGTGTGTGCTTCATCATGGCGGTGGTCATCCGCTTACAGGGACTCAGAATCACAGCTGGTTCTGAGGACATTCGCAGGTTCTTCACTGGCCTTAGAATACCCGATGGTGGGGTTCATATCATTGGTGGCGAGCTTGAGGAAGCTTTCATAATATTCGCATCTGATGAAGATGCGAGGCGGGCGATGAGTCGCTCCGGGGGATGCATTAAGGGCTCCCCAGTCCACTTGCTTCTGAGTAGCAAGGCAGAGATGCAGAAGGTTCTCGAGGAAAGCACGAGGAAATCTGAAGCGAACAGTAACAGGAGGTTTTACAAGGAGGGAGCGAAAATACCACCCCCGGCAGCAGAGGGAAGGCCGCCGCCGTTAAAAGAGGAAATGAGAGTTGATTTGCGACGAGGAGAACATCAAGATTTAGGGAACAGCAGAGCATCTTCAGCTTCTCTAATTGGCTCTCAGAATCAGATGGGTGAAGGTGTATCAGATGAGGTGGGCCTTTATTTGAACTTGTCCGGAATGCCGTTCTCGACCACGAAGGAGGATGTCCGTAATTTTTTAGCGGGCTTACAAGTTGAGGACATGATTTTCTTGAGAAACCGTCGTGGGTTGTTTTATGGGAGTTGTTTGGTCAAATTCGCCACCAGAGAGGATGCCAGAGAAGGTCTAAAGCGGGATCGGCAGTACATTGGGCCACGTTACGTCAGAATAAAGACTTGCTCTGAGGATGAGTGGCTGGAGGCTGGACGCTTTGGCAGACCAGAAGGTTCATATCAAAGAAAATGCACACCAAGTCCCACTCGATCACGCTCCCCCATTCATTATCAGTCGAGGTCTAAGTCAAGGTCACGTTCCCCTTCCAGTGAGGAGTACTGCGTGCTGTACGAGAACCTCTCACAGTCAATCGAAAAGCGAGATATAAATGCGTTACTCCACCCTGTGTTCTTGAAGGATGATCAGATCATTATTTTTGCTGAACAGAACCAGGAGAACACTAAATCTGCTGTTGTGGTGTTCAGAAACCTGAAAGACTATTGTTCTGGCTTGGCTCACCATAAGGAAACGTTTCTCCACAGGGTTGTCTACGCATCTCCTATCTCCAAAGAAAAGATGGTTGCCGTTTTAGAGTCTTCTACTGATTCCAGACACGGTAGAGAAGAAAGAAGGTCCAGCAGATCATCTGAACGATCTCAAAAAAGCTCCCATGATTCGGAGAGAAGGTGTCTGTACGTTCGCAATATGCCGTTTGACGTCCGTAAAGTTGAGATTATGGACTTCTTCCATGGATTCCAGCTGGCGGAGGATAGGGTTGTCCTGCTGCATGATGAGAGAGGAGCTGGGCTTGGTGAGGCTTTAGCAATCTTCCAGACGGAAAAGGAGGCTATGATGGCACAATCTCTGAATGGGCAAAGGTTTTTGGGATCAGAGGTCATTCTGACATGCATCACCTTGGCTCAAATGCAGGTATTTGGTGTCAACCCCAAGGCAGTCGGAAGCATACCAGAGAGGAAATGTTCAGAGGAGCCCGGGGCGATACAGTGACCCATCACATTTCTCTAATGACCGGATGTATCTAGATGAACGTGATGTTATGCCTGATGGGCCCCACTATGGACAGGGCAACCGTGGCCCACTTGGCAATTTTGAGCACCCTGATGCTTATGGACAGGCTCCGCAAGGTAACGGTTCTGGCTCCCATCAATATGGACAGTCTGACCAACGGTTTGATGGACCTACATGTCTAAAGTTGCTCAATCTGCCCTCCAAAATAAGAATCGATGAAATTTATGACTTCTGTTATGGCTACAGAGTAATTCCAGGTTCAGTCTCATTGCAGTACAATAGGAAGGGATTATCTAGTGGTTCTGCTACTGTCGTGTTCGAAACCCACACCGAAGCAGTCACTGCTATTCAAGAATTAAATGGAAGACCCATTGGCACGAGGAAAATTAAGATTGTGTTTGTGTAGAATTGGACACTTGCGATGCTTTCTTTACAGAAAGCAGTGCTTTTTAGCCTCTTTCATTTCGACTCTTTGGTTTGTTTATATTTGATTGGATTGAATGAACAATTTTCTGTTTTTTTTTTTTGCTGTCTTTCAAATGTGAAGAGATTGATATGTTTTGGTCACTTTAGGGTTTCTTTTCTGTGACACTGTTTTTTTTTCTTTTGAATTTTTACCATAAAAAACCTTATATTTCATTCCCACTTTACAATTACTGGAGTACATTTAAGGCATTGTAAACATTTGGTGGAGTACTTTGCACTCTGTGAATGTATTGATTTAATTTTATTATTATTGTTATTTTCTGTTGGTTGCTATTGTTTAGGGAGATGATGATGTGTGATTAAAAAACAAATTCCGTCCTCCAGATGTCTTGATTATTGTTGCCTTTGAACTAAAATTGTGTGTCTGGTGATGTTAAAGACATGAACAATTGGATGGAAGGATCTGATGTCTGGAAATGTGTCTGCTAGCACTGTAGCTGACACAGCTCTTAACTAGGGTGACCGTAAGTCATCATTTTCCAGGACGTTTTTTAAGCCTTAGAAAGTGCCTGGCCGGGATTTCTAAATTGCCAAAAATTTCTTGGATTTGGCTTTGCGGTCATGGTGTTGTGTGCTTTCTACAGTCTGGCATGTGCCACCCTTCTTCCCCCCAGTGTCTTCTTTTTTGAAAACCAAAACATGAGTCTTTGCTCACCTGATGATGTCTTTTAGCCAATTTATCCATTGTTAGTGTCTTTAAACATCTTACACTGAACTCATAGATGGAATAGCGTCTGTTACATCACACAAAAACGTGAAATAACTTAAATCTCACGTTATTTCACTGACTACGGCAAACTGATCTACATAGTCTACTTAGTCTAAAAGTAGACTATGGTGGCAGGAAGCGGTGAGTCAATGCACAGAACAGGTTTTTTAGCGGTCCCTCTCGGTGTTGTTAGTTTAAGTCCCTACTAATGCTAACCAACAGCCCACAGGCCTTGAATACAAATATTTTCACAAGCTCTTAAAGCAATGTTTCAGTGAAAAAACAGATCCACTCCTTTCCCCCAATCTCTGCCCCAAATGTAATCAAATAAAGACATGTTTGTTGTCTGAAGTTTGCTCCTTTAGCCTTAGCACTGGTGCTGTGAGGCTAATGTGGCTAACAAGTAAGTGCTGCTTATACTACACCAACTAGCATGGTGCTAACCGCCTTCCTAAATTATCACGTTCTATTATTAAATCACATCTCAAACCGTGTGGAGCTACTCAGTAACCTCTAATAGACCTGATTATGTAGTTTCTGACATTGTCTATAAACATGGACTAAAGTACATTAGCATCGCTAAAAACAGTAGCAGCTGCCTGGAAGCTTGAATTTAGTCCATGTTTATAGATAACAGTGAGTCACAGTGTCAGAATCCAAATAATCAAGTCTGTTGGAGATACTGAACCACTCCATATAGTTGGAGGTGAGTCTGATGATTTAGATGTGGAGTTAGCACCATGCTAGTTGATATACATAAGCTTCTATTGTTTGCTAACTACTAGGTTTTAGCTCCAGAGCTAAAACTACAGAAGCAAACTTCAGACACCAAACATGTCTTGTCTGATTGACTACATATGGGCTAAAACAGAGAGAACTGGATGAATTTGATGAGACATCACTTTAAATAAGATGCATTCAGACAGGTCACATCAGGTAACAGTGCTGGCATAACATTATGACCACCTCCTCGTTTCTATGCTTATTGTCCATTTTATCAGCTCCACTTACTATATAGGTGCACTCTGTACTTCTACAGTTACAGACTAATCCATCTGTTTCTCTGATACTTTGTTAGCCCCCTTTTACCCTGTTCTTCAGTGGTCAGGACCCCCATGGACCCTCACAGAGCAGGTACTATTTGGGTGGTGGATCATTCTCAGCACTGCAGTAACACTGACGTGGTGGTGGTGTGTTAGTGTGTGTTGTGCTGGTACGAGTAAATCAGACACAGCAGTGCTGCTGGAGTTTTTAAACACTGTCCACTCACTGTCCACTCTATTAGACACTCCTACCTTGTCGGTCCACCTTGTAGATGTAAAGTCAGAGACGATAGCTCATCTGCTGCTGCACAGTTTGTGCTGGTCATCCTCAGTCCTTCATCAGTGGTCACAGGATGCTGTTGGCTAGTTATTTTTGGTTGGTGGACTATTCTCAGTCTAGCAGTGACACTGAGGTGTTTAAAAACTCCAGCAGCACTGCTGTGTCTGATCCACTCGTACCAGCACAACACAGACTAACACACCACCACCACGTCAGTGTTACTGCAGTGCTGAGAATGACCCACCACCCAAATAGTACCTGCTCTGTGAGGGTCCATGGGGGTCCTGACCACTGAAGAACAGGGTAAAAGGGGGCTAACAAAGTATCAGAGAAACAGATGGACTACAGTCTGTAACTGTAGAACTACAAAGTGCACCTATATAGTAAGTGGAGCTGATAAAATGGACAATGAGCATAGAAACAAGGAGGTGGTCATAATGTTATGCCTGATCTGTGTATGTACTGGTGCATTGAGTCACTGACATTATGTGCTTATAATGTGGTTTCTTAATATCAGATTTCTGCAGTTTTTATCATGTTCACACACTGAGAAATTTTAGATTGCATTTCAGCCGGAGTTTAATGCACGCCTAAATTAGTGTTGGTGTGTCAGAGATGTGTGGTGTGATTATCAAAAAGTGCCATTGGTTCCCACTTAATGTTATTGTCAGATGACCGTGTTATTCATTGACCTTGCCTCATTTTTGTTGACATAATATGCCCATCTCTGTTTTGCATTTCCTCAAAATAAGTAATAGGGGACTTTAACTGTCATATTATTTACAAGGCATGAATGATTAAATGTTATTTTCCTTAAATTAACAGAAGCCTGGTTAGCCATCTATCTGGGCTCATAATTATTATTTCACTATACCAGTTCTATGTTGAGGCCTCTCCCTTGATGTTAGGGCCTCAAAGGGGAATTCCACCATAAGTTTGTGTTTGAGATGTAATCAGAGTGATTCAGAGTGGTTTGGTGTGAAATGGTTCAGATGTCTTTACAGTGGTGGTGATAGGAACCAGGGGTCGCCATGACTACAACACAAATATAGACATTTCATTTACTATCCAGAACCACCAGTGAACCTACACGAGTCTTCTGAGTTTATATGGAATGTTGATGATGGAAAACAGTGGAAAATCTGAAATAATATGTTTTCTTTGGGGACTATTTTGCCTCACAGCGCCCTACATGTATCCCTCCACCATGAATGGAGTTTAAGTTCTCAAAACTATCATAAAACAGTGTCTCAGTCATCAGGCAGTGAATTCATAACCATTTCATGTAGGAACTTTCTGTGAGGGAGCTTTTAGAGGTGGACGTCTGGTTCCTATCACCACCACTGAACAATTCTGACTCAGTAAGTTTCTCTAGAGCGTTTCACACCAAACCACTCTGTTTGAATTTCTCTTCAAGCCAAACCAGCAGTGTTCTTTGACAAATACAGTATGCAAATCATTGTAAACCTACAGCTGATTCCCATGGGCCCAGCGGCGTCCTGTTTGTGTAACATGGGGAAGTTCCTGATAAAAAGCTGCAGCTGCAACTCAAGAAATATTTATACTTCATCTACATTATTAAACCATTCAAAAACTTTGTTTAATGTTATTATATAACCATTTCTTTCTTTCTACTAATTATAGCAATAGTTATATTATTTCAATATTACATTATTGATAATATATTATTATTTATTATCCAGACCATAGACCAAAAAAAGCTAGGGTTCTCCGAACAGCAAAAGTGAAATGAAAGTATTATTCCATACTATTTTTGCAGAATGACCAGGTTATTTTGTTGAGAACAATAGGGATCTGTCTGTATGTTGTGTTCAATGCATGAGTGGATGCATACATTCTTAAAAAGATGGTTCTATTTAGAACAGTGGGTTCTATATAGAACGATTTCATGTTTAAATGGTTCTTTGCATGATGATTGTTCTTCAGCTAGATGGAGAATATGTTGTGTATGGTTCTGTATAGTACTAAAAAGGTTTCTGCTATTGTTAAAAGCTTGTCATTGTAACCAGAGTAGAACAATTTTTAGTGTTATATAGATCACTTTTCAAAAAGGCTCTATATAGAACCATATTCAACACATTCACCATCAATCGGTAGAACCTTTCCACCAGGCAAAGAACCATTTAAGCATGCAAAGTGTTCTATATAGAACCTATAGTTCTAAATAGAACCATTGACTTTGCTAAAGAAGAGACTTCCTTTTTAGTGTAAGTGTGGGAAAAAAACAAAACTAATGCACTATTAGAAGTTCCTCCCTGCTGCGCTCGTGTTCAGACACTTTTAATGAAAATAAAACATTTGGAAAAGGAAATACTGATAGTGCTGAACGCGTAAGGTGCTTTGGTGACTATTTTTCAATAAGGTGCGCCCAAAATATACTGTATACATGAAAATATATAATATATATTAAGACCATGAGAATTTAACACAAGTTAAATTTCTCATGGCCCTAATATACTAATTTGGGAATTCAATATATTAATTTGTGACCTTAATATGTTAATTTGTGGCCTCATAATAATAACACTTGGCCTCAATATTTTAATTCATCGCCTCAATATTTTAATTTGTCGCCTCACTGTATTAATTTGTGTATTCAATATAGTGATTTGTATAATCAATATATTAATTTGTGGCCTCAATATAGTAATGTGTGGCCTCACTATATTAATTTGTTGTCTCAATACAGTAATTTGTGTATTCAATATAGTAATTTGTGGCCTCAGTATTTTAATTTGTGGCTTAGATATTTGAATCCCTCGCCTCAATATATTAATTTATGGCCCCAATTTATCAATTTGTGGCCTCAATATATTAATTCATGGCTTCAGTATAATTTGTGGCTGAATGTAGTAGTTTGTGTATTCAATGTAGTAATTTGTGGCATCAATATATTAATTTGTGGCCTCAATATATTAATTTGTGGCCCCAATTTATCAATTTGTGGCCTCTTTTTTTTATTTGTGGCCTCAGTATAATAATTTGTGGCCCTAATATAGTAATTTGTGTGTTCAGTGTAGTCATTTGTATACTCGGTATATTAATTTATGGCCCCAATTTATCAATTTGTGGACTTTTTTTTATTTGTGGCCTCAATATATTAATTCATGGCCTCAGTATAATAATTTGTGGCCAAATATAGTAGTTTGTGTATTCAATTTAGTAATTTGTGGCATCAATATATTAATTTGTGGCCTCAATATAGTAATTTGTGGCCTCAATATATTAATTTGTGGCCCCAATTTATCAATTTGTGGCCTCTTTTTTTTTATTTGTGGCCTCAATACAGTAATTTGTGTATTCATTATAGTAATTTGTATACTCAGTATACAAATTATAGTAGTTTGTGTATTCTGTGTAGTCATTTGCGGCATCAGTATATTAATTTGTGGCCTCAATGTAGTAATTTGTGGGCTCAATATATTAATTTGTGGCCTCAATGTAGTAATTTGTGGTTTCGATATTTTAATTCCTTGCCTCAATATATTAATTTATAGCCCCAAATGATCAATTTGTGGCCCCAATTTATCATTTGTGGCCTCAATATATTAATTCGTGGCCACGCATTATTCAAAAATAATCACCGTGTCACCTTAAGGGCTCCGTATGATGGCGAAGCGAGCACGGGATAAAAATGCTGGCACTGCACGCGGACGGTTTGATCCATTGAGGATGTGCACGAGCGGAGAGGCGCGCGGGGGACCGTGCTCCTTTCTCTCTGAGGCGGCAGCGGCGGCGGCAGAAGCGTAAGCGTTTATCAGGGGCAAAAACACAGCCTGAAACAGCGGCTTAACTCAGTCTACTCGATCTCTGTAACGGTTTAAGGCCTTTTCTGAGCCCCAGTGTGTTTCAGAGAGCTGTCAGGAGAACCGGCCGGGCTTTTAGCTCTGGATTCTGGACAACAGAAAGCCAGAGAAGCGCTAGCCGTGTGGCTAATGTTGGTCTGTCAGGATTACCTAGACTGTTTCACTGATTTGCTGGACCGTTTGGGTAAAAACTCAGAACATCTGACAAAAAATACCAAAACACGACTGAGTTCGTATCACTGGACATTTACTCAGCTAGATTACATCAGCCTAGCTAGGTTAGATACGAAGCTGAAGTTTTAATTTTCCGTCCCACCTTAAATGGTGCAGCAGTTACAGTCGGGTGACTGCAGGAGCCTGAATGGAACTAATGGAGCATTTAAGGTGGAACGGAAAGTGTGTGATTCAGGCGTTGTCTTATTCACAGAATTAAAGCTTGAGGTAAAGCTTCAGTTTAAGCTTTCCGAAGTTCGTTTGGTAATATTTTTATTATATTTAATATTTATATTTATGATCATATCTGATCCTCAGGTGGAAGTGACTTGGCTAATTTGGCTAACTCACCCAAACTAGCTGAATGAGCTCATTCGCGTCCAGCAACTGAGTTTAGGATGAAAAGCGAAAGGAGCTGTTCGGTTTAAAGCAACTGAATTTAATACAAACTCTTAAAAATGTGGTTATTTAGTAAAGGGAGTTGTTTTATTTAGAGCCACAAGTTCTTTA